TTTTCAACCCATCTTGCTAATTGTGGAAAGAACATCCTCAAATTTCCCATGGCTATATGAAATTCGTGCTCATGCCTTGCATAGGCAATGTAATCAAGCAATAGTGCCTCTTCTTTATTGTTCCTTCCCATTCCCCTATAAACTTTGTTAAACTCAGAGCTAAAATTTTCCTTAACATGTCGATAGCAAAATGCATGTCCATCACCACCAAATATGGCTCTAACAACACCAATAATAGCATTATTTCTATCAGAAACAATGGTTACCTGTAGCGAACCAAGGATATCTTTAATATTTTGAAGAAACCAAGTCTAATCATCATGAGTTTCACTCCCAACTATTGCAAAAGCTAATGGAAACAACTCATTATCGGCATCGTATGTTGAAGCTGCCAGTAAGGTGCCTTGATAAGGACTACTGAGGAAACATCCATCCACATATAAAATAGGCCTAGCCCCAAGCAAGAATCCTTTAATGGAACAACCATATGCAATAAATAAATGTTTAAATCTATTGTTCTCAAAAGCCACCCATTTTGCTACAGTGTCAGCATCAATCTCCATTAGTCTATTACACAACCAAGGAACAAGCATATATGATTGGTTAGGAAGCTCGTTTATTTCCACCAATGCCCTCTCTTTCGCTCTTAAAGCTTGACGATAAGTTAGACTTATGCCATAGTCTCTATATATGTCAGCTTTGATTTCATTGGGTCTTTTTTCCACATTAGACCTTACTACATCATCAATTATAGACAAAGTCAGTGTGCACCTTATACTGTAAGAAACTTCAAGGTCTTTTTGGGCAGAATGTGAGTGCTCATTCTTGAAAGTTGTTACACGAAGTAAGGGCATAGACTTCCTTAATGAATATGCTGTTATCTTCCATTGACATCCTTTTGCCTTGCAAACTGAAATTATTTTATTTGTGTTATTCTTCACAAATTTATATTCAAACCTGTGTGCAATACTATACTTGTAGATTGCTTGTCTACAATCATTAGCACTCACAAAAATCTGTCCAGGTCCTACTAGCAAATCCTTCCACTTTATTGCATTTAGCTCAGGCATTGGTGTTGGGATACTTTGTATTGCACATGGTAGAACTTCAAGATCTTGTATAGCATGTGAATTCTCAGTTGAACATCATACTTTTCATTTTCATTCAAATCATGTTTATTACTACTATCTATATTTATATTAGCATAATATTAATTATGTAACTATTAAAAAAACTTACCCATCAATTGAATCTCTTGTTGCCTCTGTACTTTGTTGTATATTCCCAATTATGTACACATGAGCAAAATTATCATTCAATTTTATTAATTGATTTATCCCTTCATCATCTTTAAGGTCTAAAAGAGCATTGCAATCAAATTTTACTTTGTACTTCAACTCTATTCCATTTAAATCACAATTCAAGCATGATGATATCAATCTAACAAGTCCTTCAAGAGACATTCCTTCTCTAATCATTCTTCCATTACAACTCCCCCCATCATAATGCATTGTCCCATACATATCTTGTACAATATCTCCACTAAAATGAAAATAACAAAAAATTTCCTTTACACAACTACTTTTCATCGTACCCAATAATATCAACCTACAAGAAACAAAATAAAATGTAATAATATATCACTTAGAAATAAGTTACTTTTGACATAAGTGATTTTCACATCAGTTAAACAGTGACAGTATTCCATCTTAAAATATGGACACTTGATGATAATTTCTTACACTTTCAGTTGAAAAATGTCGAATCTTCATGCCAAATATTTTATAACGTCAAATAAAAAAAATTCTTTCATGTTCAGTTGCAGAAAATGTTCCATCTTTTTCCTTACGAAAGCCATTTTACAAGAAATCAGACCTTCATGGAGTAAACCTTTTTATTCAGATGAAAGGATTTGCAAAAAAAAAATACCTGTCTACACGCACCAGCACAAAACCTTAAGCTTCATTGAGTCAATTATTAAGGCAACTCCACCTCTTCCAAGCATAACTCTGTTTCAGGAATGGGTACTCTTCAACGTACAGCTCTACCTCTTACATGCACCTCTCATTAATGGCGGGAAAGAAACAAATCGGGAGGGAAATGTTGGAGATGATGAGTGTACATGTTATATTTACTCATAGGGGCATTTTCATCATTTTCTTTGTAATTTTGATTGGGGAAAAATAACATGAGACTTGATTGGCCTTTTAGAATTTGTTGGGACTTAACTGGTATAAAATTAGTCTTTTGGGACTTAATTGTCGTTTTCCCTTGAACTTATGGGTTGACAACTCGATAGGACCAAGTTCATGTAATTGGATTAGCTTAAGCTCACCATTACTAAGAGATAGCCCCGACCAAAAGCACATTCACCCCTTATAGACCATAAATTCTCCTTGTCCACAAATATTAGGGATTTCGATGTCCAATCTACCTTATGTAGTACTAAGATTTCTAAATAATATAATACTAAGCACCGGGGCCTCCATGGTGCTAGTGTACCATATAGATTTTCAAACAATGTCTTAATAACACACTAAGGTGAACTTCCACCCTTTTACAATAACCATGCCAAACATGCTTAATGCATCCAACACATATTTGTAACATATCAATTATCACGGATTCTTATTTTTACGTAAATAATAGAATTTCACAAGTAATTATACATAAAAATAGCATTTAATGTCCAAATACTGAAACATTAAAACAACTTTTTATTCCACTTCACATAACTTTAAAATCATAATTTCATATTATTATTATAGTAGTAATACCAAACCAAAGTATCAACTTTGAAATCTAACATACTACTATCTAAACACACAAAATGGGAGATTAGACAATCTGGTTATCTCAACCTTTTTATCATTAAAAGGGTTATTGTGGTTAACTAATGTCTCTACATGTGTCTACTAACACCACAATGCTTAGTCAGAGGCTAACCTATAAGATTAACCCCTTAATTGTCAATTCACACACCAATCAACCCCTTCATAACACAAATTTAGGTACTTGTTACATCCAAAACCTCCATTCAACCTTAATAATTTTGACAACATACTCCATTAATCTTATTTAACATAGAAACACATGGATAACACCATTACATTACCTACATTACTCTTAATTATTTAATTTCTACCTAGGGTTCGTCCAAACCCTAACCCACAACTCCTAACCATTAAATAGTCTATAAATATAAGTTTGGAAGCTTGATTTAACTCTCCAAGACCTTAACTAAGGCAATAGATTCGGCCATTAGCAAAAAAAAAAAATGAAATCACAGCTCCACAATACCCTAATCATTAGAAAAATTCGAATATAGGGTAAGAAAGAAGTGTAGAGGGCTTACCTAAAGCTAAATCCTGCCCTAAATGTTTCCAAAGTGATCCTAAGGTCAACCCCTAGCGCCCACCAATTGTCTCCCATCGCCTCCTCGTGTTCTCTCTTTCCTACTTCTGATTTTCGTTCTAATTCGTGAATTGATAAATGCAAATATGTGTACATGCATTGCGGCGCATTGATGCATCCACTGTGGTGCTTAGCACAGAGAGCCCCTTCACAATTTGAACCTCCCTCCATACCACGGCCCGTTCGTACTTTGATCTAGTCCTTTTCTAAAGTTGTCTAAGGATCTAAAAGCTATATTAGTCTCCCAAAAACATCATTAATCAAAAATTCACCTAATTTGACTAAAATACCGTTATAAACATTGGAAATTCCCAAAGTTGAAATCGAGGATGTTACAAGAAACCGATTCACTATCAATACTAGGATAAATGCTTTCTGCACTAAGTAATCTCATAACTTCCTTTTTCACAACATCAAGAATCAAGGGGTTCAATCTTCTTTGAGATTGCATAATGGGTTTAGCATTTTCTTCTAAAAAGATTTTGTGTGTGCAGACAAGTGGATTGATCCTAGGAATGTCACCTAATGAGCACTTAACAACAAGTATATTTTTCCTAAGTACATCTAGCAAAGCATGTTCCTCATGCATAGCAAGAGAGTTAGAAATAATAACAAGAATGTTATTCTTCCACTTATTCAAAAAAAAGTGATATTTGAATATATGAAAAAAAATCACATACGTGACTCTTCTTTCATGATATGCAACCGCCTTTAAAAAATGTAATTTTTCTTCAATTTATTTGAATATGCAGAAGTGATATTCAAATATATGCAAAAAAAAAAAAAATTGCATATGCTTCAATCTTACTTTAAAGCTCAATAAATTGCCACACAAAAGGACATTATTTGACATATTAACACTGAAGGACTTTGTATTTAGTGTTGACATGCAATAATTGATAGCAAAAAATCTTGTGTGAAATATTGATAGTGAAGAACATTACTCTATTTTTGCTTTTTGGTTTTAATATAGCAAGGGCATTTACGTTATTTAGCCTTCATCAATTAGTACCAGTGAAGGACCGAGTTTAGAATTCAACCCAACTCCTTCCTAGCAAATAAATTTGTGGTGAGGTTTTTTTAAATAATTTTTCCTAGCTGTTATTATTTACATTTGACTGATAAACAAAATTTACATAAAAATAGTCACTTTCTATTTCATTTTAGTTAATAGTCCAACCAAACAATCATTTCCTAATGCATAATATAGCCATTAAGAACAAATATGTTATTTTATCAAAAATAAAAATGAGATACAAGTCTCTAAAAATTAAGTAATAATCATATCATTTTGTGATAGTCAATTGTCATTTGCATATTTTAATATAGTTTTTTTGTCATTCATGCTAAATAAATAAATACTATTACTTTTATTTTAAAGTATAAGATAATTTTAAATATATTTTATTGTCTTAAAATAAAAAATAATTTAATAAAAATAAAATTTTATTAATATTACTTCTAACATGAAAAAGAAATAAAATGATTGTGATGTAAGAATTAAACATATAAAAAAAATTTTAAAATTTCATAGCTTTATTTTTTAAAATTGCGGGAATAATGGACATAAATTCTCGCAAGATCGTCGCTTCAAGCAAACTGTTCGTGGTTTTCCGCTACCAGTTCACCGTTTTCGTCCTTCCCTTCTGAAACTCCTAACTAGCAGCCAATGAGCCAATAATGATGAATGACGAAAACACGGAAGAAGAGACGATGTATTGCTGCATTTCTCACGAGTTCTTCCGAGTAGCTTCAGCAAACCCTGACAAAATCGCAGTAATCCATGCTTCCGGTGTTGCCCAAGTTTCCAAGGAACTTCGTGAAAATTCTACTTCATCCTATTTCGGCGGAGATATTGTTGAGTCCTTAGACAAGCTTGTGAAATCGGTTTCTCCGCCTATGTACTTTGGGGACTACTGCTACACATACTCTGATTTGTTGAAGGCCGTTCACTCCCTTAGCTCTCGCCTCCGCTCCATCCTGCTTGGTGGGGATGATACCGATTTGATCAGACCCAAAGCTCAAGGTTCACTCTGTTTTTTTCTTGCCCTTCTTTCATTTTCTGTACTTGAGTAGTAATCCATGCTTGGTCCATGTTATGCTGGGATAATTTTTTGATTCACGTGATGAAGTTCAATCAGTTTTTTTCTGCGAAGTAGTTGTAAGGGATGTGAATAACTTTAAGCTTACTTAAACGTTAGTGGCAACTTCGCTCTTTAGGAGTTTTTGGCAAACGCTCAGAAAAGCCACGCTTGATTTGTAATGCTGCTAAATACTCGCACAACTCACCACAATCAATGCGCAAGGACTAATTTGGGTGCATACGAATAACGCTGAGTCTATCACTTGGACTCATAAAACCATGGACTCTTATCAGCCATTGAAAAAGGAATGTGCTGCCTTTTTTTTTTTTTTCACCAGAGAGAGAGAGAGAGAGAGAGAGCGAGCGAGGATTGTGCTCGATTGTTCAAGTACCATTTCTTTTGTTTGAGTATATTAGTAGTAGTTAAATATATGCAAGAGGTGATATCTAATACTGCATTCATTTCCCATGCCCTTTTACAGGCAATGATGATGTCAATAGTAGAGAAGGAAAAATTGGTCAAACACCTGAGTCCTTAGAAATTGTCATGTCTAGCGCAAAAACAGTGTCTTCTTCAATAACAGAGCACAGACCAAAGATCGTGGGAATATATATGCCACCTTCGGTAGAATATATTGTTGCTGTTCTCTCTGTTTTGAGGTGTGGAGAAGCTTTCTTGCCTTTGGATCCTTTTTGGCCAGACAGAAGGATACAATCGGTTGTTTCTTTTTCAAAAGCTGATCTCATTATAAAGTCCCGATCTTCATTTGGTAAAAGTAATTTAGATCAACCTGATGAATCACATTGGGCTGTACATTTGAGCAGTTGTCCTCTTTTAAACTTCTCTATGGAAGAAAACCTTCCAGAGTCTCCAGCAGATTTTTCATGGCCTTGTGAAAATGATAAAAAGAGATCCTTCTGTTATCTGATGTACACTTCAGGGTCAACCGGAAAGCCTAAAGGAGTATGCGGAACTGAACAGGGTAATGTGTTACTTGGTTTAGTGATTGTGAATGTTATTTTATGATCAATGCATGAGTTGTTTACCTTTAATGAAATAAACTGTGGTTTGTGCATCTGTCAGTTTACTTTATTATGCACTGCACATGAAAAGAGACCTATTATACTTTACAATTATTAACAATTTCTTTTTTCCCCCTTTAATGGTATTTTCTGTATGCTGGACTTAAATAAGGTCTATTGCCAGCCATTTTGGGATATTGAGGATGACTGGTTCTAGAAAATAATTCTTTCTAAAGAGAAAACATGGTTACCGACATAAGAGAAAAGGGATGGGAATGATGATGAGAGAATAATGGATGAATTTCCTTTTTCCTTTTTGCACATGCGAAATTACAGGAAAGATGATGACTTGTTTTTTTTCAAATCTGTTACTTCATTAACTCCCTTCCTTGGGAAGACTTAACAAAATGGAGCTAAGGAGACTTGGAAAACAAAATCTCAAAAAGGGAGAATTAATGACCTTAATGACCTTGCTGCCCTTATCTTTTCCTTTCCATTCATTTCCCTCATTCCCTTTAATATGAAAGTCCAAGCATAGTCTCATAGCCTAAGCATGCTTCGCAGTTGTTAAAATCTTTGTTTGACTCTCTAGGATTTGTTCTTCCTTGCTACTCTCCATATTACTCTTTCTACCATTCTGCTTCATTCTTTTTCCTTAGCAGCTGTTTATGACTTGAAGGATGATTTCTATTACATTTTATCCGACAGGAAGAATATTTCTTTTCTAATATGTATATAATGTCACAATTTCTTACGCTCTTTTTAGGTCTTTTAAATCGATTTTTTTGGATGCAAAGAATGTATCCACTGGATGGGCAAGATTTACTGTTGTTTAAGTCATCAATTAGCTTTGTTGACCATCTACAAGAATTTCTCAGTGCTATTTTGACTGCTTGTGTGCTGGTTATTCCTCCCTTCTGCGAGATGAAGGCAATGCATACTGTCTTATAGGTTTTCTACAGGTATGATGCTGTCTGAGTCTTTGTGACTACAGTTTGCGTTATTGATCTTTTATCATTCCTTGACTTGTCACACAATTTGTAAATACTGTTGAGCTGTTGATTTCCTTGTAAACCAATACTTACAAGTGTTGCCCTAATTGTTGGCCATTCTTTAATAATTTTTTAACTTGTTGCTCATTCTGTGAGAAATGCTGCAATTATGATAGTCCTATTCATCCAGTATTTATTGTGCATTGCATTAGGAATTTTGGGAAAGTAGGGGACAAAAGTTTGGAAGAATAGAAAGAGACCATACAATATATTATTGAATTACTCAATTATGATTTCTATAACATTGGCCTCTCGTATACCCTTCCACCTTTTACCTTTGGTGCGCTAGTACCTAATTTCAATTGGCATCAAATCCAAGGTTAACTCTTCCCTTAACCTGTAACACTCCTAAATTCTGAATGGCTTTTTCACACTCTCTGACGTACTGCAAATGCAATCCAATTGAAGAGAAAGACACCCAAGGAAACAAACCCTCAATCATTGAGTCAAGAACTGAAGTAACCAGCATTTAACCTGACAATGTTCTTAGCAGATATAATGGCACAGGTCCCTGCAATTTTTGACCTACTTTCCATGAGTGACCTTCTTGACCTCCTAGCTGGTCTCTAGCATGTTTACTCACTAGGGCCTCCATCACTAGACAATCTACCTCCTTTTTACTAGTGTGAATGTCTTCAGGGTCCAACTGTTGCGTACTCTTTGCAACTGCCAAAGTTGCCCTTAATGCTTCGGCTGCAACTTCCTTCAAAGCAAAAACAGGCAGACCAACACCAAACACTTGCCTATGGTACCAAATTACCACAAGTTTCATGGTACTTGGGTCACCATCAACTCAATTGCTTAAAATTGTGTCTTTGGGGGACCTAAGTTTGTGGCTATATTTTTATAAAGATTACAAAAAAGGTCTGCTAAAATATGAGAAATGCTTTCATGCAATTTTCTGTGTGTATACTCTGTTATGACTGATTTGTATTTCATGTAACATTTATTTTTGGGAAGTATTGTTATTCTATTTAGCTTTATCAGTTTGTAACGATATTATTGTTATGATCTTATCTTATTGCTTTTCTTCACCCATAGTATTAAATGCTTTTGTAGGCTTATTGTATTAGTAGGCTGACAGCTGTTCCATCACTAATGAGAACAATACTCCCTGGACTGCGAAATCATGCTGGCATGCGGGTTCAATGTTCATTGAAATTGCTTGTGCTTAGTGGTGAAAATTTTCCTTTAACCTTGTGGGAGATGCTTTCTACTGTCTTACCATATACATTTATCTTGAATTTATATGGAAGTACTGAGGTGAGGACAGATGAAAATCTCTCTGGTCTGAGATTTCTGTAAGAATATTTATAATTTGAATTTTCTATTTGTCTTCCTGATTCTAATACTCTCATGCAATGCACACTTTGCGATAAATGTTATTGTTCCATGTGTGGGAAGGTTTCTCATAAATTATCCAGCTGTGCTGTTTTCATTGATGATTTGATTCTTACATACAAAAATGACTATATGCTTGCCATCTTTGTTCTGCATTGCTTTTGATTTCCATATTTTAATGTATTTTTTTTTCTTTTGCTTTATAATAATTATTATCAATGCCATCTTCCTGGGCTATTTCATTTTGCATCATTATCATATTTTATTTAATGTATTTTTTTTCCTTTTCTGTTTTGTTGTTAAGGTCTCTGGTGATTGTACATATTTTGATTGCAAGAGGATGCCATTAATCCTGAAGTCAGATATGCTATCAAGTGTGCCAATAGGTGTGCCTATTTCAAACTGTGATGTGCTGCTTATTGGTGAAAATGATGCATCAAATGAGGGAGAACTATATGTTGGTGGTTCCTGCATTTCTAGAGGTTACTATGCTGTGCCTAATTTATTGTCTGAGGACTTTGTGGAATTGCCTCAAAATTATGGCTCCAGAGATTCTGTTGGTAGTTATCAAAAGCAATTATACTTTAGAACTGGTGATTTAGCCAAAAAGTTACAAAGTGGTGACTTTATATTTTTGGGAAGAAAGGACCGCATTATAAAAGTCAATGGACAGCGTATTGCTCTGGAAGAAATTGAAAATTTGCTCAGGGAACATCCAGATATAAATGATGCTTCTGTAATTTGTCAAAATAATCAAGGTGAACATGTGCTTCTGGAAGCATTTATAATACTAAAAGAGGCTGAAAGGCCTGGTGAATTATTAATGCCTTCAATCAGAAGTTGGATGATCAATAACCTTCCCTCAGTTGTGGTTCCAAATCATTTCATCTTTATGGAATCATTTCCTCTGACTGCTAGTGGTAAAGTTAATTATGAGGTTTTGGCGCGTTCAACTTTATTTACTAAGCATGTTGATAATAAGAATGGTAGCATAGGATGCAGTGACCTTCTACGACTCATCAAGAAGGTATGCTTTTATAGTTTTGCTTAACAATCTATCTTTGTTCATCAAATAATACAGTTTATTCTCTGGACTTTTTCTTCACAAAAAAGGCAAAAGGAAAAAGGGCATGCGTAGAGGAGCAGTCAAAAAGATGAACTTGATAGAAAATTATCATAACAGTGAGATTTCCCAGAAGTCTGTGAACTAATAATGATAACAAAAAGGAAAAGATTTCAACTATTGCAGGTGACAAAATAACAAAATAATGCTCTGGCTCCTTTAAAAAATCACAATACACCTTCTCTGTATCAATTATACCCACCCTAGCTTCCTTCATCAAGATCAAATTGACCCTAACACTTCCCTTAACGATGAAGGCCCAGGTTATTGAAGTGCATGTGTACATGACTACACAGGGCACGTTTTGTAGAGGGTTTATGAAGAGAGTGGAGGATCCATACAAATTTGTCCTCCTCATGTGATTCTTGTCAGCTTGGCCAACAATCAACTGCAGCACCATTTCATTGACCATAACTTTGACCCTCTCTGCTGACACAACAACATGACAGATGATCCCTGTTCTGTCTCTATCTGTAACGGTCCCTCCTCCCATCATTGGAAACTTTTGTTGTTTCATACTACCTCTAGTCCTGTTTACAAGACTTTTCTAGTAGCTTTTCAGGGTCTTTATAATAAGACCCTTTACAAAATTGGTAAAGCATTTGTTATTTTCTCCCAAATATGCCCTCAATAATTATAACCCTCTCTCCTACATGGAAGAAGTATATTTGATTTAGAAATAGAGATTAAAGACTTTAATGAAGGGTAATTTTGGAATCTTATAGTAGTTTATGATAAAATTAAGAACATTAACTAATTTTAACCACTTTTTTTAATCTGTGTGATTTGGTTGAAATGGTCTTAAAATAGTACCAGAGGCAGTATATATAATCAATTTTAGTATTTTCAGTTCTCCACTCAATTCCTTACTTTTCCTCCCTTCATCAGTTCATCTGGCATATAATTTTTAACCTTTGATTACACTTTTTTCCTTATTTGATAAGTTTTTCTAATTAACTCATATAACATTTATTATAAGATCATTATCCATCTTTGTCATTTAGAATGATTGTCGTCTAGAATGTTTTTGTTCAGTAGTTTTCACTCATCATTATATCCTATAAAAAACTGCAAGTTATATCTAATTTTTATTCGTTGTTCTGAAAATACATGTTTTGTGTGTGTGTGTGTGTATCACTCTCCTGTGCATATGCACCAGTGAAACTACTCTAGTATGATTGTATGACACTAAAATAAAATAATTTATAGTCTTGTACAATTTCCCGCATGAAATGTTATTGCTATGAATATGACTTGTAAATCTCTAAACTATAAACTATGTTGAATCATTACGCGCATAACAAGTTTGTTCCCTTTTAAAAATTTCAAATCTATGCTTCCCACTTTCAAGCAATAGTTCTCTATGCGGAAATGAAGGAATTGATTCATAGTTGCTTTAACAGGCATTTTGTTATGTTTTAATGGTAGAAGAGTTTTGCAATGATGATGATTTCTTTAAAATGGGCGGGAACTCGCTTACTGCTGCGCATGTTGCTCACAGTCTGGGGATTGATATGAGACTCCTTTATGACTATCCGAGTCCTTTTAAGTTATGCATGGCTCTTCTGCAGAAGAAGGGATTATGTGCTTTGCATAAAGACCTGGATAATTGTTCAAAATTTAACGTTGACACACAAAATCTTATTTCTTCCAATCTTTCTGAAAATGCTGATTCTCTTCTTCAACCAATGGGCATTTCTGATGGTGATGGCAATTGTTCTTTCCCTTGCAAACGTTTGAAGAGGGATCTTACCATGGACTTTATTACATCAGGGGGTGATGGGTCTATCCGTTGGTGTTCTTCCTCAATGCTTTTATCATGTTCAATTAGCCGCTGCAACAAGGTCTTGTTTAAAAAGCAACCTGGAATAATTGATACACATCAAACAACTTGGTCTCTGAAAGTACCTAGAAGTAAAAGGGGTCATATGAAAGATTTGTGGAAGGTTTATATGGAATCTTGTGTTGATGCATCACCAATGCTTGTGTTTAGAGGCTCAGACATTTATTTGTTCATTGGATCTCACTCGAATAAATTTCTTTGTATTAATGCCAGAAGGTAAAAAATTGTAGTTTGTTAACTTGCTTTTGTCTATCATTGCTATTCTGCTTCTTAATCATAATGAGTTTTAATGCATTGGTTTAATCTCTAGCTTCTGATGAATTATAAAATACCTGCAAATACTTGCCCCCTTAATCAAATTTTCTCCTATCAGTACGCATTGAATGATCACGATTCTTTGTGAACTTGATTTTCTATGCCATGAAAATGTGAATCTCAGATAACATCTGCTCAACTTGGATGACCTAGCTTTTGTTACTAGCTTGAGAATGCTGCAGAGTTCTTTTTACCTGAAAAGATCATGGAAACTAATAGGAAACTTGAAAAAAAAGAAAAGGAAAGGAAAAAATTCACTCATGTCATTCTATGCTCTTACAATCTTTTAAAATTAGATTGGAATATTCAATTGCTACTCTCATCATGATCTCTTCCAAAATTTTATTTGCACAGTCTAAAAGGGGTTATGTCTAAATTGGACCAGACAAGAATTGACATCTCTGTTTGTTTGGTCTATTCCCATAGGAACTCTGCGATCTATTTCATGGTGGTTATGAAATCTATTTTGTGTAGATAGTCAACGACTGTTGAGTTGTAGGTGGTTGCTGCATATTCACTGATGCTAATAATGTAAATGCCTTATATTGTTACTGCTACGTACTTGATGCTATAACTATTTACACTATATTTGGTTTGAGGGGAGGATAGGGGAAATTTTAATCCATTGTTTGGATGGAAAAATGGGGGGGAGGGGTCCCTCCCCTCGTTTGTCAAGAATACAATGGAAATTTGCCTCCCCTCCCCTCCCCTCCAACTTGGGGAGATTTGAAGGGTTTCCTACCTCCCCCTCCCATACCTCCCATCCCCTTCCCTCACCTCCCCTCCATTAAAATCCCTGCCCTCCCTTCCCCTCCCCTCAAACCAAACACTAGTGAAATTATAAAGAATTTGTTAACAATGTAAGTGTCTTATATTTTCTTCCAATCTCTTAAAACATCACTATAGATTGGAAGATTCAACTAGTTTTGTCATGCCATCTAAAATTTAATTCTCACAATCCGAAAAAGTAAAATCTAGATTAGACCAGACAAGAATTGATATCTCTGTTCGTTTTGCTCCATTTCCATAGCCTGAGTCTGTATTGCTGCTTGAATTGCTTGTAAAATTTTGTATTGCCATGTCCTTCAGTTTCACTTTTTTTAGCTGATTAATAGGAACACGTCTGTCCTTCAGTTTCACTTTCTTTAGCTGATTAATAGGTATGCTGCCATTTATTTTATGGTAGTTATGGAATCTATCCTCTACATAGTCAAATGCCTTTTTTTAGTTGTGTGTAGTTGGTGTATATTCACTGGTGCTGACAATGTCTATGTCTTCAATCATATCATCGTGACTGCATACTTATGCTTGAACTATATAGCGAAAGTATGGAGAATTTGTGTTCTAGCACTGCTGAAGTTATACTACATAATTTGTTTAGTGGTTCTGTTCAGTGGGAGACCAAACTGGAAGGACGGGTTGAATGTTCTGCAGCAATTGTTTGTGACTTTTCGCAGGTTGGTTTTTATATGTGAACATGTCAAGTTACTTTATTGGATAGGATTTACAGATTCTATCCATTTGTTCTGACATATTGTATCTCTCTAGGTGATTGTTGGATGTTACAAGGGGAAAATTTACTTTCTTGATTTTTCCAATGGAAACATTTGTTGGTGTTTTCAAACATCTGGAGAGGTATCTGGTTTCCCTGCTGTATCAAATTGTCTTTTCTTTCTTGTATAAGGTTTCCTAGTTTGCCTTTAAACTTTCAAGCATGTCACAAGCATTATTTTTATGTAGAATGTTGACACTATGAGGATAGGAATATCATTCTAAGTCACTGCAAAAAAGAACTATGCCTAGGAATTCAGTAAAATGAAGAGAAAGAATGTTATATTGCTTTTAGAGCATAGAACAAGTAAATGAACTGACAAAATGGATACGTTTATTGAAACACATATAATTATAATATTGTAAAAAGTAAAACCAGGATAATCCACCTTGTCTTGTTTTCTTCATGATTTTCTAGTAGATGATTTAATGGAATCTCTCTTCGTTCTTTCTCCCAGATGCTTTCTTCTTCTTGGTGATCATTTTTCACCAAATAGGTGCATGTCAATCCAAATAAAATTGTATATTGATTACATTTTAAACTTCTATGTTGTTGAAGAATATTATATTCTGTAAATCCTTGTAATTATATCATAGGCATATATCATAATGAGGCAATTAATTCCTAGAAGCCTCTATCGTTTATAATGGGAGATTATTCTGGTGAATAAAAGTGAACACGTCTACTCATTGTCAAATTTCTTTGATGGTATCAGAACATCTTCAAGTTTTCTTTGCTGCTTGGTGTACGCTGTACTTGCATTGAGTAGGAGTTAGGTTGATTAGCACTCACTGCCTGCCTAGGGAGGACCAAAGAACTCTAATAGGTGTAGCCCAGAAGTTTGGTGACCACTAGCAGTGTGAGTAAATCCTGTGTGCCACGGTGCCACCTCCAGATTCTTCTCCAGGGTCACATGCTAGCATTTGTAGGTGTGTGAGGTTTCTCTATTGACAGCATTCTTCTTCAGCAGCAACAGCTCACTTCCTGTCTGCCCCTTTTATTTCTCACGAGTAGGTACTCCATTCTTTGTATTCCCTAGCTACCTCTGCTCATTGCCTATGTTCTAGACCGTTTTGAGCCTGTTTGGTCTCTATTTGGTTGCCATTTAGGGGGTTTTTTGGCTTCCAAATTTCTTTCTCTGATTTTAACTCTGTTTGACTATTTTGCATTGAGATTGGCACTGTTTCTGTTCTTCTGTTTTAATCTTCTAGCAATTGTCCCTAGTGTGAATGCCCCTTTGACAATGATCATACCAACTTTTACTGCTTTTCTAGCTATTAATGTTAGTTGGTGGTCTGGAACTGTTATAGGTGTTTCCGGAGTTTCGTGAGATGTTATCCCAGCACCTTCATAGGCCTGTCCATTACTGCTAGGTGCTCCTTGCTAGTTCTTATTCCTACTTTCTTTTCTCCGGACTTCAGAAAAACTGCTTATAAAGTTGGAAGAGGTCTAATGGCAAGAATCTGAAGTTATTGAGCCGAATAACACTTGTATATTGATCAGAAGGTATGTACAGCAATATATATATAAGCAAGACTGATCATATCTCCGAGAATAAAGGAGACAGAATCAGAGGAGAATATCGGGAAGTGAATTGCGTAAATCTCTCTATTATAACTACCCAATATCTCTCCTAATAATAACATATATTTACATCAAATAATTACTATTTCTAACCACACTCCCCCTCAAGTTGGATCATAAATGCTAATCATGTCCAACTTACTAATACAATTATCAAATGCTGGTTTGTGTAATCCCTTGGTAAGCAGATCTGCAGCTTGAAGTTTAGTTGGTAGGTAGATGAGGCACACGACTCCTTCCTCAACTTTTTCCCTAATGAAGTGTCTGTCAATTTCCACATGCTTGGACCTTTCATGTTGGACAGGATTTAGCGCCATACTTATTGCAGCTTTGTTGTCACAGTAGAGCTTTAATGGAGGAGCAACTCTAACATGTATCTCATCCATGACTTGTTTTACCCATAATACCTCTGAAATGCCTTGAGCCAATGCCCTCAATTCTGATTCAGCGCTGCTCCTAGAGACTACTCTCTGTTTTTGGCTTTTCCATGAGACTAGATTTCCCCATGCAAAGGAACAATATCCTGATGTTGACTTCTTATCCTTGTATGTTCCTCCCTAGTCTGCATCTGTATAAATTTTTATGGATTGTAGGTTTTGTTTTTTGAATAACAACCCTTTTCCAGGTGTTCCTTTCAAGTATCTCAAGATTCTATACACTGCTTCCATGTGCCTCTCCCTAGGGTCGCACATATATTAGTGGGCAACACTTATTGCAAACGCTATATCTGGCTAAGTGTGAGAGAGATAGATTAGTTTCCCAACTAACTTTTGGTATCTCTCTTTGTCCACTGACTCATTCTTCTCTTCTTCCTCTTCACAGTCATCTTTTTCAGATTCAATCTCATCTTCCTTCTCTTTTCTCGATTTCGCCCCTTTTTTCTTGACCATGATAGGTGTGTCTGTAGGTTTGCATCCTAACATACCTGTCTCAGTAAGCAAATCAATGATGTATTTCCTTTGGGACACATGGATCCCTTTCTTTGACCTTGCAACCTCCATACCCAGAAAGTACTTCAAATTCCCAAGGTCCTTCACTTCAAATTCTTTTCTAAGAGCCATCTTTATTCTTTTTACTTCCTCCTTGTGATTGCCGGTGACAATTATGTCATCAACATATACTATGAGAATACACCTTTTTCCTCTTTCCATTTTTACAAACATAGTATGGTCAGACAACCCCTGTGTGTACCCTTCTGCCCTCAAGACTTTGGAAAATCTGTAAATCTGTCAAACCAAGCCCAAGGTGATTGCTTTAAACCATACAATGATTTTTTCAGCTTACACACCTGATTTGTTCTCCTTGCCTCAAAGCCTGGGGGTAACATCATAAAGACTTCTTCCTTAAGATCCCCATTCAAGAAAGCATTCTTAATATCTAGTTGATGCAAGGGCCAGTCCAGATTTACAGCTACAGAAGTCAAAATTCTGATTGTATTTAGTTTGGCCACGGGAGCAAATGTCTCCTTATAGTCTAAACCATACGTTTGAGTAAACCCCCTTGCCACCAATCGTGCCTTTAGCCTGTCTAAATTACCAGCAGCATCATATTTAGGGTTAAATACCCATTTACACCCCACAACTCTCTTTCCTTTCGGAAGTTCTACTATCTCCCATGTGCCATTCTTTTCCAATGCATTCATTTCCTCAAGTACAGCATTTTTCCATTCTGGAATGCTCAATGCTTCATACACATTATTAGGACTCTTCACTTTGTCAAGATTAGTCACAAATGCATTAAATTGTGAAGACAAGGTACGGTAACTTACAAACCTTTGAATAGGCTGCTGTGTACACATTCTAGGTTGCTTTCTGAGAGCTATAGGTAGATCTAACTCTTCCACTTCCTCCATCTCAACTACCTCTTTTGCCTCAGATTCTTGAAAGAGATTTTTACTCTCTATGTTCTCAGTCTCAGGAGCCCATCTTAGTTAAGATTCTGGCTGTACTTCAGGCACAACAGTCTCCCTTTCTCGCCACTTCTTCCTTGAATAAGTGATTGGTGTCTTTTCCAGTGCATTTTCTGCATTTTTATGATGCTTTGAAGGACTTTTCACCTTAGTTTCTGACCTAGGAGACTGGATTCTTAGTTCGGTGGTATGAGAGACAAGAGATTCAAAATCAGTATGGTACTGAGATTGAGGATTTTCTGGGTTTGGTTCTGGAACATAAAGAGTTTCTGGTTTTCTAGAATAACAGGACCTGAAACATCTTCCAAATGCTGAAAGTCACTCCCTCTCTCCCCCTGAATTGAAGCATTTGGGTAAAAGGGTTCATGCTCAACAAAGGTAACATCTCGACTTACGTAGAGTTTTTTAGTATAAGGGTCAAAACACTTATACCCTTTTTGTGTTGAGGAATGACCAAGGAAGAGACACTTGACAGCTTTAGGATCCAATTTTTGAGAATGGTAAGAGTGAACATAGGTGGTGCAACCAAATATTTTAAGAGGTAGGTCAGTGGCAAGATGAGTGATGGAGTGAGATTCTTTGAGTTTCTCAATTGGTGAAATATAAGAAAGAACGCGACTAGGCATGCGGTTGATTAAGTATGTTGCTGTAAGGATGGCATCACCCCAGAAATATTTGGGAACGTTATATGTGAATAATAAAGCACGAGCAACTTCTAAAAGATGTTTGTTTTTCCTTTCCGCAATGTCATTTTGTTGAGGGGTGTTAGGACATGTGCTTTTATGAACAATTCCATGGTCTGCTAGAAACAGATCCATGGTTTTATTGAAGTACTCAGTCCCATTATCAGTATGAAGCACTTGGATTGTGGCATCAAATTAGTTTTTTATCATAGTATAGAATTTAGAGAAAACAGAGGGTACAGAAGACTTATCTTGTAATAAGTAAACCCAACACATTCTGGTGTGGTCATCAATAAATGTAATGAACCATTTTGTATTAGTACGATTAGTAACACGAATAGGACCCCACAGATCACTATGGATTATGGAAAAAGGACGGGTAGACTTATATTCCACAGGTTTGAAAACAGATCTGTGATGTTTAGCAAGTTCACAGTCAGTACAATGAAATGAATTTTTATTGGCTAGAAATTCTGGAAACAAACGACATAAATACTGGAAATTTGGATGACCCATTCTCCTATGCCATAACATAAGATCCTTAAAGTCTTTATTTTTTGAGGTAGATGCAATATTGCACTGGATTCGAGACCAAAGACTACTCACGGTAGATTCATCAAGATAGTAGAGACCATTATGCTCCTTAGCACTGCCAATCATCTTCCCTGATGAGAGGTCCTGAAATATACAATGAGTAGAACAAAATTGAGCCCAACAATTAGCTTGTTTAGTCAACTTACTAATGGACAATAAACTACAAGCCAAGTTCGGTACATGTAAGACATGTTCTAATTTCAAAATTTCAGAAATAGCGGCACTTCCTGTCCCTGCTATTGATGAGGAAGACCCATTTGCTGTGCTTATTGTTTCATTTCCAGCATTAGGAGCATAGGTGCTGAATAGTATA